CCAACAGCCCCTCCTGCAGGCCAAGCCCTGCCCCCCCAGTGCCAGCCCACAGCCCCTCCTGCAGGCCAAGCCCTGGCCCCCCAGTGCAACCTTCAGGCTCTGTGGCTGCTGCTCCCCAGTCCCCACCCTCTGCCTTGTCCTGTCCCGTCCTCGGGCTCCCCATCCCACGGCTGGACACATCTCCTGCGACCCGAGGGCCCTGGCAGCTCCTGGGCCGTGTTTCACTGTGGCACTGAGATTCCTGAGGCTGCGTGGGAGCCATCGTGGCCAGGCACAGAGAGATGGCCTCCGCCCCACACCTGACACGCAGAGACCTCCGGGGTCCCCCCCAACACACAGAGACCCCCTGGTTGAGGACAGGGAAGGGCCCAGAAGACTTAGGAGACAGCTCCATACAATCCCTGGTCAAGTTACCAGGCATTTGGCTAAACTCTGTCCCCAGCTGCTGTGTTCACACTGGACCTTTCCTCTTCCCCCCCATCTGGCTCACTCGCCTCCCCAGAATCCTTCTTGACACCCCACCCCGACATGTCCCCCTCACAGGTGGCCCAGAGCTACCTGTCCAACCAGTGGTGGGCTGCCTGGGGGGGAGGCCTCTCCCCAGGGCAGACACGACACAACTCTAGGGCCGGGGCCAGTGGGGGTCACTGTTTATTTGTAAAAAAGGCACTTAAAAGAGGCCCCAAAGGGCAGCACGACCCGCTGGGTAAAGAACATGCAAATGAAGGTGCCCAACTCTGCCGTCCCCCTTTGTGCCAGCAGGGGGAGCCAAGAGCTGCCTGGGCCCCTGGCCCTTGGGCCCCAGCTGTTGCACCAGGCCCCGGGCCCCTGGCTCTGTGCCCAGGCGGTGGAGAATTTCCCCCGAAAATCCCTGCCACCTCCCCGTGCTGCTGGTGAAACCCATGTCCCCAGGGCCTGTCCCGCTTGCTTCCTGTCCTCTGGGCCCTGGACGCTGCAGCTGCTTCCTGTTGCACAATGTGGAGAAGTTTCCAAAGTGTCCGGGGGCCCAGGACGGGGGTGGGGGCAGGCCCCACTGTGACGGAGCAGGCCGGGTCTGGGCACCGCCGAGGGCGTCCGCTCTGGGCGAATCGCTCAAACTCAGGGCTCCTTACTGCCCCTGACTGGAGACCTTCCCAAACAGGCCACATGCCAGTCGCACCGAGCGCTCCAGCTGCCAATCCAGCAGGCAGGAACCTCACGAGCAAAACCCCCCGGACACCCCAGCTCTCCCTGTGCCCCAATCAGCCCCGGGCTTAACACAGGTGAGGGGTTATAGAACCTGATCTCCCCTCCACCCAACGGCTTCTCCTTCTCCAGTCCCAAGAAACCAGCCGCAGTTCCTGGTCAATTTACACTGGATCTTCCCCACAAGAGCACGCTGGGCCAATCCTCCAGAATCTACAATCTACAGGTTTATTCATAAAAGAAAGAAAAGCCTGAGAGTGAGGTTGTTAAGGAGAATCCGTCACATGCCTCGAATCCCCCAGTTCTCGGTGCAGGCTCTTAGCAGAGATGTTCCAAACTGCCAGCTTAGAAGTCTCTGGTGTCCATCCTATGTCGGGATGGGGCAGTGATCCTTCCTGGTCCTCTCAAAGCTGCATCTGGGATCAGGAGCAGAATTGGAGGCCAGATGGAGTTTGCCTCATGGCACTTTCTATCCACCCCTGGTATCTTCCAAGCTGGAGGTCCCCTGACCCAGTGACCTGGCCCTGTGCTGCTTTGCAGGTCTCCGGAGCATCCCTCAGGCGTGTTGGGCACCTTGAGAGCCCCTGTCCCTGCAGCCTCGCCAATTAGCAGAGTCCCTGGCTGACCAATTGCTCTTTACAACAGGCCGTCCAGGCCCACGGCTCCGTCTCATCGCCAGGACCAGCACAGAGTCCGTATTCGTAACCCCACACGCAGACATCACGCCGGTACAGGAGCAGCACATAGCACACAACTTCCATTGGACACCTCGCATGGCCCCCTTTGTACAGAGTTTGGGGCAACCCCTCCCCCCCGCAGGGACAGCAGTGATCTGGCTGCTCCCCTTAAAATCCAGTCACGTGACACCCACACATCCGCAGGCTGCACACAACCGGCGGGGGGCGGGATGTTGGGGGGGTGCTGAGGGGGCTGGCTATTGCCTCGATTGTCAAACTTCCATTGGACACCTCGCATGGCCCCCTTTGTACAGAGTTTGGGGCAACCCCTCCCCCCCGCAGGGACAGCAGTGATCTGGCTGCTCCCCTTAAAATCCAGTCACGTGACACCCACACATCCGCAGGCTGCACACAACCGGCGGGGGGCGGGATGTTGGGGGGGTGCTGAGGGGGCTGGCTATTGCCTCGATTGTCATGGACCTCAACCAACCCAAGACCCCCCGCTTGGGGCTTGGACCCACACGTGGCCCAGACCCGCGGCTGGG